CCGACCTACGTTCGCGGCTAGCAAAACACCAATACGGGCGAGGGTTAATGACATGAAGGTGCTTATGGTGTAAGTCTTTGTTTTTACTCCCATTGCTGAGGTTCAGTCCTATCGGTGCGTGTATTTCAGCAACCATCTACCGATTCATGTGCTTCATCAGGAACATTCACACAGAAACATAATCAGATGTTGATTTTTTTTCAAGCAAGCTTTGGACAATCATAAGAATTTACCAGAGAAATGATGGGAATTTCGTAAACGATTCCTCCTCCTAACATGCCCATCATTGCTGGGACCCACAATTTTATGCCTCTTATTTGCGGTTAAATTCCAGGATTTCAATATCAGAGTCGGAGTCGTTAGGAGTCAACAGTTCTGACCCTGCAGACAGAGTCGGAATCGGAATCGATTTTGGAATCCGGACCAAGACTCGTAGTCTGAGTCACCGAAAATCCATTGACTGCGTGGACTTGCCATGGCTGCGGAGTCAGAGTCCGAGTCGATCGTATAAGTCGACAGTTTTGCCCGGAGTCAGAGTTGAAATTGACTTTTGAAAGCCGTATAGTCGGAGTCGGAGTAACTCCATCGACTTCACAGCCCTGGCCTGGTAAGCACATCACCCGTCGTAAGCTAGTTCTCCTTACTTTTAGAGGCGGAACTATGCCATTATATGTCAGCAAGCATTTATAATGCATCGTAAAAGGTCTCACATAGGTTAAAGTGTCAATTTGTAAACCAGGGAACCATTTTCAACGGATCCGAGCAGCGCTGGGATTTAATTCGCGCTAAACTGGTGTTTGGCCACACTGTGCGCTGACGCCAGTGTTGTCGGTATACGCGCCCGGCTCCTCTTGAGCCTCTTGTGTTAAGCGCGCTGATGGAGTTGTCGAATCACGCGCTCGGCTCCTCTTGAGCCTCTTGTGTTAAGCGCGCTGATGGAGTTGTCAACTCACGCGCTCGGCGCCTCTTGAGCCTCTTGTGTTAAGCGCGCTGATGGAGTTGTCTTTTTCACCAGTCGTCCTCCTCCGGCTGGTCGGGTATCGGTAGTGGCAGGACGAGTGGTGGTGGCTGGCTGCGCAGCCGGTTCCTGGGCGCCCCGGCAGTTGGCTGGGCCGGCCGGCGGTGTGGCTCAACTATGGTCATTGGTACTTGCGTTGGCTGGGTGCTGGTGACCGCGTCCGCGACTTCGGGAGCTGTCGCTCTTGCCAATACTTGGGCTGTTTCGGCGGGTCCTTGCTCTAGCTGAGATGCGGTCGCGTTTGGGCAGCTGGCCTTCGACTGCACCTGTCTTTGGGTGTGATGCCGCCGTTCCTGAATGAAAATTTGGTGGGCGGTGGGTCTAGAGGCTGTAAGTATAGATAGTGTACAGCACCTGGCTAGACAATATCTGCAGGAGCAGCGGTGAAAGCCGGGCGCGGAGGTGGTGACGAGGTCGCATCCGCAGCTGTGGCAGATGCCGCAGAGCTGGCACCGATGGTCGTCGGGATGGAAATGACACCTGCAGCTGGTGGCGCACTCTAGGCGTCGAGCCACGTAATTACGATGGTACGAGCACACCCGTTGTACGGTGATCTCGATGGGCACTAGTAGATGGAAGGCTGGGACGAGAGCGTCCCAGCAAGCGCACTGACCGTTTGGGTTGATGTGGTCCTGATGGTAGTTGGCCCCGAAGGTCGGTCGTTGGTTCCGACCTTGGGGTTGATGCGGCAGAATTGGTATGGTGATGCTGAGTCTGGGGCTCCGAGGTGGCGAGGACATCAGATGTCGATGAAGTCCTGATCCGGGTCACGGCACCAATACTGGTTTCTCTCCCTTCTGATGTTGTTGACGTTGCAGCTCGCCCACCTCCCCGAACAGAGTCAGAGTGAAGTCGGCCCGTTGATGTATTGGCAGTTCGGGTTGGCGGCGGCAATCAGATGAGAGCGAACAGCGGTTAACCTTCTCCCAGAGTACAAGTGCGTGCCTCGGAGCCCCGCCTCAGACTGCCCTCCCCGGTACGGAACAGAGGGTGTACGCACCCGGGCCGAGCCACTCGTTACCAGTTCAATCCATTACAGAGTGTCCTCTGCCCGATTACGCCCACTCCAGTTCTTTTCCATCTGGCAGTCTCGGCTCCGATAGCCACCAGAGCTCTCTAGTCCGCGCAGGGACTGACACTGCTTAATAGTAAAATAACATTTCGGACACCTCCGGCGGCCGCAGGCGCGTGAATTGTATATTTGCCTAGGGCGTGTCGGCGACACACCCGAGCGGCAGCGCGCCGGCGGACGGTGGCCGGCGGCCGGCGGTTACCGCTGCATTATACTAACAGATGACACACTCGACTGGGCCCAGCACCGTGCAGGCCTGGACTGGCGCGTGGGGAGGAGAGCGAGTGCGTTTCAGCTTGCTGATAAAAAATGAAAATGCTTTTCTTTAAAATTGCACAAAGAATAGAATCGGTGTCTGGCTGTTACACCAGAAGTGATCCAGCAGCACCTGAGTGTGTTTCCAGCGCCGTCGGCTGCACATGTCACCGTCAATGAAGACACCGGGCGGCAGCTGAGGGGCGGCTCGTCCGATGAGGGGAAGTGGTTCGGCGTCAGCGGCTGGGCTGGTAGTCGTCGGGATCGGTGCTGACGTGGCAGCGGACGTCCGTTCAGGAGAGCTTCGACCGTCCGTCACCGTCCGTAGCGTCTCGTCGTCAACGGCCCTGTCGCCCAGCACGGCTGTCAGAGCGCGTTTGGCTGACCGTACCAGGCAGGCGCTCGAACACGCCGCCGAAGTGCCGCGCGGCCGGCGGGTTGAATAGCCACTCAACACCTTTCTGTGACAGCGTGTCGGCGATCTTGGACTGGTTCCATTCCTGGAGCGCCTGCCGCAGCTCATACTGAGAAAAAAAGCTAGTCCCTTTTTCGGTCTATGAGAACCTTCACCGGTCTCATTTTCCCTATTCAAATCAGACAACACGAAATGACACCCTTGGCTGGTATTCTGTGAGGCCCTTTGGTTCAGACCACCTACCAGTCTCAAGGACTTCCATTGGTGGTCTCGGATGACACCGACCGGTCTCATATGACCATCGTAGTTGGTCTTATCTGAAGCCAGCTTCTGATCTAAGCCACGATCTGGTCTAAGCGGATACCAATGGCAGGTCTCAAAACGTGCTGTCTGAATAATATGTGGTCTCATGATGTGGTGGCTGGTTTCAACTGAACCTCATACCTGGTCTAACCTTGAGCTCGTATCTGGTCTCAGCCACTATCTGGCCTATTCGGATGCCGATTGCACGTCTCAAAATTTGCTGTCGGGAACATAAAATGCGTTGAAGAAGCGAGTAGATGGTCTTTTTTAAGCCCTCTACTGGTCTCATAATGAAACCACCTGGTGGACTCTTCTTAATTGGGCTCTGTTCGTCCCAGGTAACGGAGCATATAAATACTGTTACAAATAGACAACACGTTCCCGAATATCGCCTTCAGACGAACATCGCCTACCATGGTGAAATGTTCACAACAATGTATTTTCTAAGCTATCCGATCGTTCCAGTATAATTAAAAACAAACATCAGCAGGGTGTAATTATCACAAAGAACGGTCATCTCGGACATTTGGCGGTAGCCCGACCCGCAACATGTATGTGTCGCCAGCGCCGCCACTCGTATCGCCCGTCATCGCTACGGGCTGCATCGCCCAGAACAAAACTTGTGAACAAAACTTCAATCAAAACTTGTGCAACAAAAAACCTCAGCGCGCAGCCTGACATCCGCCCAAGCCGGTCGCCTGCACCAAGCGCCGCCGCGACAAATCACCACACACGCACCAGCGTCACAGACCCAGGAAGCGCGATAGTTTGTTGCCTTGCTTCCGGGTTGCCGCACTTTGCTCCGTAACCCCAAGGCACGTGTGCTGCAGGAAGTGGAGGAGCACTGTTAGGCTCTTGGCAGAATTCATGGTGAGCACGCTGTGGGCGACTGCCCACAGCAGTATGCCGTCCTGAGTGCTACCGCACGTCCCCTCCGTCACGCCCTCCGCTGTGATGACGCCGCCCGACATCGAGGCGCAAAACAACCGGTGCACCTTCAAATGGCGTTTTTTTTCACCTTTGCTACACAACGAAAGTTGAGCGTGTGGCTCCTACGAGCTCCCCCTCCCTGACTTGAAGAAAATCTGACAACGTAGCCCAGGAGCTGTCACAGGATGTCACCAGGCCCGTCCATGCCGCTTGTGACCCCCTGTAGCAGAATACAAGTATTAATAAGCAAATTCTTGTTTGTGATAGTCTAGATTTGTAGGACCTTAGTTGTTCTTGCCGTTCAACCAACCGATTCCAATGACAAACAGAATGTAGAATACAAAGTTGGGCCTGTATTCAATTCACGGCCACAGAAACAAAAGATAACAAACAAATTGACTTTGCCAAGGTCCGAAGACAGACTGATCCGCCGAGGCAGTAAAGACAGAAGTGCACGGCTGCGACTCAAAGACCGAAGTGCTCTACCGCGCGGCACCGGCCGAGTTCACGACACACACACACATACGTCACATATACACGTCAGACATAGAGATGTACGTCATATCATAGCACCAATCAGAAGCGGGCAAGGACAGGCGTCGCAGGTGAGGAGTGAGGACCATATAAGGATATTGTAAGTGGGCGAGGGGGCTGGGCAGTAAGTAGGTACAGAGAGAGGTGGAGGACGGGGTAGGAACGAATTTCGTTACACCCCCTTTCCCTGTGGGCCGGGCCATCACGTCCGTCTCCATCATCTCCGTCCATCACTCCGTCTCCACTCCGCCCCTGGGCTTACCTCACTGCGCGGGCACACTATGCTGTCAGCACCGACAGATTTTTCAGCGCGTCCGCGGTCGCTGTTGACTCTGCCGAATCCGATCATATTGAAATCCGAAGGAAAAAACAACTATATCCGAGTCAACATATAAAATGCTAAGTGTTGAGAAATGGTTATAGCAACATATTCTTGTGTTCAGGTAAATAACGCTATCCTAGTCGCAAATAAGTCACCTGCCCTGCATGTGTCTGGGTGAACCGATGAAGCTGGGCGGCAAAATGACGCGGCGTCCGATGCGCTGCTGGGGCACCTGTCCGGGGACAGCAGCGTCTCCTGCGCCGTGTTCTGCTGGCTGACCGGCGGCAGCGGCATCTTCGCCGTCACCAGCGATGGCGTCTACCAGATGCTGGTACAGCTCAGACCGGATGCGACGCTGGTTCATGGCCAGGAACACCAGCCGCTGCGTTTCCACCCGGATGAACGCCATACAACAGTACTCTTGCAGCAGACGGCCGGCGCGCAGCTGCGAGTCGTCTTCAGCTGGGCGCGTCTGCAGACGGTGGGCAGCGTACTGCAGAGCGCTCACCCGCCGCGCCGGACCACCTCCGTCTGGCCGCTGCTGTGGCAGTTCCGGGTGCCAGCCGTCCGTCCCGAAAGGAAAGAGCAGCACAAAATGGAGGGATTCGTAGGACCGGTGGCACTCGCTGATGGTGGCCAAATCACCTCCGTCACCGGCGGCGCGTCGGCGCAGGATGATGTCCCGGTGGGCGGGCTCCTCGCCGATCAGGACCGATACTTCCTGAAACCCATCGGGTCGGTTGTAACGCCGCTCGTGCTCTCCCGCTGGACGCGCATCGGCGCTGAGAACCATGCGCAGGTGTTCCACCTGGTCATCCGGGACTTCGCTGGCCATGATGAAATCTCTGACCAGCGGGTTGTGCTCTCGGAGCAGCTGCAGGAGGCCGAGGAGCACGCGCTGTGTCGCTGCCGGAGTGTTGGCGCTGAGACGAACGTGACCGAGATGCAGCGCGGCCTCCGCCTCCGGATCTTCACACTGTGGGTCTTGCACATAAATCTGCGCAAACTTCGGTACTTCGCCGTCGCGAGTACGAAGCGGTCCCAGTCGGTGATACAGGCGGCCCTGTATCACAACAGATGGCGTGTAACCGCCGTGACCGGGGGGTGGCCGCACCTCCTGCACGGTCTGTGACGCCAGTGCCAGGGCGGAATTAAGATGCCGGACATGCTTGCGGAAAATCCGAGCGACCGCCGAGTCGTCCGTCCACAGCTGCCGCAGGCTAGGCGGAGGAGCTGGCAAGGGGGCGAGCCGAACCTTGCCAGCAGCACAACAGAGACTGACCCGCTCGGCCGGCCACAGCAGAGCTCCGCAGTGCTGGCAGACGCGATCCCTGTCGCCGATGGTGTTGGACGGCACGACCAGCTCTCCGGATAGGACGTCGGCGACGTGGCGCGCCTCCCGGGACGGCGACTGGGCGCGGCGTTGTCGGCGGCGACGGTCTGCTCTGTCCCGATCCCGCTCGCGGTTCTCCTCGTCCAGCTGGCGCTGCTGCTGCCGCTGGCGCTCCCGCTCACGATAGTCCTCGTCCAGCTGGCGCTGCTGCTGCCGCTGGCGCTCCCGCTCGCGGTTCGCCTCGTCCAGCTGGCGCTGCTGTTGTCGCTGGCGCTCCCGCTCGCGGTTCGCCTCGTCCAGCTGGCGCTGCTGCTGCCGCTGGCGCTCCCGCTCACGATAGTCCTCGTCCAGCTGGCGCTGCTGCTGCCCCTGGCGCTCCCGCTCGCGGTTCGCCTCGTCCAGCTGGCGCTGCTGGTCTCGCTGGCGCTCCCGCTCACGGTTCGCCTCGTCCAGCTGGCGCTGCTGCTGCCGCTGGCGCTCCCGCTCACGATAGTCCTCGTCCAGCTGGCGCTGCTGCTGCCGCTGGCGCTCCCGCTCGCGGTTCGCCTCGTCCAGCTGGCGCTGCTGCTGCCGCTGGCGCTCCCGCTCGCGGTTCGCCTCGTCCAGCTGGCGCTGCTGCTGCCACTGGCGCTCCCGCTCACGATAGTCCTCGTCCAGCTGGCGCTGCTGCTGCCGCTGGCGCTCCCGCTCGCGGTTCGCCTCGTCCAGCTGGCGCTGCTGTTGTCGCTGGCGCTCCCGCTCGCGATAGTCGTCGTCTTCACGCAGCCGACGGAGGCGCTCTGCGTCGGCTGCACGTTGCTCCTCGTCGGCTTCCCGCTGCGCTCTGCGTCGCTCCAGCTCGGCCTGGCGCCGTTCTTCGGTACGTCTCTCCCTGAGCCGTCGTATGCGCTCGGTAGCCCGCCGGCGGTCGGCCGCTGTTGGCGGACCCGCCCGCGGCATGGCGGGAAGCCACTAATATAAGGGTATGAAATAATCGTATCTATATTAATTTTAATTAATTCAAAGATTATTTGATATGATTCGGATATGATAACGCCGGCAGCCCCATGATCTCGTGGACGATGAACCACATCATGGAGCGCGATGTACAGGACACTTTCCTTGTCCACACTTAACCCTCGCCCGCACATGGGGGGGGGGGGGGTGGTTGCCACCCCCCCCCCCAGGTAGTCTTTCTGCTCTGCACTCAACATTTTTAGCGCTAGAAGGCTGATTTTTCGTATAGCTGCTCCTCTATCCTTTCTTGATGTCCACTGAAAATTTCAAGTTTCTGTGATTTTTGGTTTCGGAGATATGACCTTGTTTTTCAGGTCATGTCATGACCCAAATGGCCAATTCTCAACATCTTGCGTTTGCCATGGGCCTTGCGAGCTTTTGACACCCTGATTTCGGCCTTTTTTGCCAGTATTACCTCCCACCTATCATGGAACATGTTGTTCGACGATGTACAGGGGTCAAGGTCAGGGTCAAGGTCAACCTAGGTCATCTAAGATAATTGCGTTTTAGGCAAGCTGAATTTACTTTTCTGAATTTTTTTGACTGCATTTTTTGGTAAAAGCTTCTCAGAACATGATTTCATGTAATATGGACCCAAAAACAATCGGTGCACACATCAGTATACACACAGACACACACAGACATACAAACACATATAATTGACCTTGACCTAACTTGACCTGAAATGACCTCAGCCGCAAAATTCTGGTCGGGTAGTGTGACAAAGGGGTTCTAGCTGGCCTGGCACCAGAAAACAGCATCGTCATCGGTATTTGATAAGCAGCGCACTTCATATCCAACGGTGACCCAAAACAGCAACATTTTTTAGTTTGACCTGACCTGGAAGGTCAATGACTGACCTGAGAAGGTAAAACTGGGTATCATTGGATTCGTCTCTTCCCAAAGAATCTTTTTGGTCTTTACCGCTAAGCTCTATCTCCAACAGGAACGAAATGGCGCGGGGGGGGGGTGGCAACCACCCCCCCATGTGCGTTCTAGGATGGGAAAATGGCATGTGCGGGCGAGGGTTAACTTGTCCGCTCTGTAAGGTTAACGGTGTGACTTAGACTCTGACAAATTTATTAGTTTGCCTAACACACCTTACACAGACACATATAATAATTCATGAGACTTATCTGCTCTGTAGTCATAGTGCTAACAGTAGGTGTGGCTCAGACTGACAAATATGTTGGGTTGCTGAACACGCCCTAGACTGAGGGATTGATGCAGCCCTCTTAACCACCCACAGGCTATATCAACCTGCTGCCTAAAATCAACAATGAACCCACCACCTACCTTCATGGAAATGGATCCTTTGTATGACAGCTAATAAGACATATAGCTAATAAGACATCCACTCTATGTATGTAACATACCTTGACTTCAGTAAAGCATTTGATAGCGTACCAGTGTACCACATAGAAGGCTTGCATTGCAACTGAAACTACATGGCATAAATGGGAATATATTAGAATGGGTTGTGGGCAGAATAATAATAAATAGAATGGGCTCACAGAGCGCCAGCAGCGTGTAATTCTAAATGTGTGTAGGTCAAGCTAGAAAAAATGTCATCAGTAGGTTCTCCAGGGCTCTGGGTCCATTGTTGTTCATTATGTCAACACTATCGACGATGAGGTACAGCCCTCTGCAGACTGCGTGGTAGGTATTCTTTTTTCGACAAAACCGAGAATAACTCAAAGACTAAGTTGTCGGTCGGTCGGATCTCATTGCATAAAGATGCGCCATGCTCCACTCCTTCGATTGGTTCTATCACTGAACGAATTATACAACTAGTGTAGCAACAAAATGCAAAAATTTGTTTTGGGGGCAAATATAAACTTTCTTGTATTGTTGCCAAACTAGCTGGAAAATGTATACCAAAATAAGCCCAATCTAAGGTGCGGAGTCTCGCAAGTCTTGCTGTTACGTTTTCCGAGTGGCCAATAGCATAGTATTCGCGTTATTCCCGGTTTTGCCGAAAAAAGAATACCTACCACGCAGTTTGCAGAGGGCTGTACAGTATGTCTAAAAAGTATGTCCCCTGGTTTGGCTCTCCCACAGGAGGCGAATCGGTAACTTGGCTGAATCCCAGTTGCGGCACCCGGCCGCCAGGGTCGCTGCCGCGCGAGCGGCCTTGACCGCTCGCATGTCATTGGCAGTTCGGTCCCTCCCCATCTATACAGAGGTGGGGAGGGGAGAAGAGGGGAAGAGAGGGGAGGGAGCGGCATCCGCTCGGCACTGGGCGATACCTGGCTGACCCCGCGCTCCCTCGCTGACCTCCGTCCTGCCCTCAGGCGAAGACCGACTTCCTCGGCCCGTAGCGGCCGAGCGGAAAACCGAGCTCGCAGGGCGCGACTCCATTGGCCCAATCTTATAAATGGAATGCTGTCGTATTCACGGCATTAAATAATTATAATAGTGATACCAGCAGTGGATGTCGTAAAATACAGTCCAAAACAAACGAAAGCACACGATTGACGCATAATGCGCCCTTCCATTCAAATAAGCCCGCCCACTTCAATAGATGGTGTAGTTTCTTAGGGCGTAAAAGATGCAAAACACTACCAAACTTTTTTTAGCTCGGCCACTGCGACCGTCAATATACAATTGACTGAAATGCATGAAAACCATTTTGCATTTAATAGCCGTTTCCTGCACCAAAACTTTAGCCATGCAGTGACACCCTGTCCATTCTAAAGCGTTTATAAGATTGGTCCCAGCACCCGATTTTATATGAGGAAGTCGTTTAAAAAGCATCTTATCTCTAACCAATTTATTTATTATGGCCACTTTTACAGGACGTCTATAGAGCTTTGACTTTTACATTTCTTCCTCGTTCAGGAGCAACGTTTTAACCAAGTTTTAACCCTCACCGGACCTTCAGGTTTTCTGAATACCGAGGGGGCGTTGGGGGGTCGGAAGTGAGGGAACAACCCCCTTTGCCGATTCGCCCCTTAATGAGCTAGAGCCTCACGAGAGAAACGGTCGTGCGCGTCGTTACGAAATGCAGCGATTGGTCTCCGATTTTAAGGACTATGATCAGCCGATGACTTCTGAGGTTAGGTCAAGTGGCCCAAGGCACAGGTTCGGTTTTTGGTAAATAACTTCGCTAAACATGATCGCAGATCCGCGATTTTAGCAGCATCGTGTTTGTCTAGCTCAGGCGTGTCGAATGGTATACTTTTTCTTCGGGTGAGATCAAGTTAAGGTGTTAACCTCGGGTCAAGGTCAGGTCACAGCCCGTCAGGTCACGAAGCTGGTCAAAGCATAGAGATCTTATACACAATTTAATTTAGGATAGTTTAATTCAAGTCGGTATGAATCCGACTTGACAATTTACTGCGTGGGTTTTGCAGCGCTATTACTTCGGCATATAATTATAAATCATTGCTAATTTCGATCTGGATGTCGTTATTCAATGCTGGCCTTTGCGCCCTCAGAAAAGTTTATAGTCATGAAGGCTTGCATTGACCCATACTTTCCATTTTTCAGCACCATTATTCGCCGTAGTTGACCAGGTATTTTTCTTCAGCTCTCCCCCGAATCATTTGGCTTAGACCCATGGCGTATCACCCGTGCATCGCAAGACGCACCTACCCCACACCAGTTCACGATCCCCACGAACCCACATCAGCGTCCGTTCGCTTGGTGTGTGACCCCTTGACCTTTGGCCGCGACAACTGCCAGCTTGCCGGAGCACCCCTCCCTGCACGCGCTGCCCCGCCCGCTCCCCTCCCTCTCTCCCTCCCCCCCCCCGGGGTCGTATCACGAAGGTTCGGGCTTACGCTACTACCGGCCGCTGCGCAGCTGTCACCTAGCGCTTGGGAATGTGTGGTCTGGTGCGGATTCAGCCAACTACCGGCTCGCGACACCAGCGCCACGTAGTGGCGACGGTACATTCTTTTTAGACATACTGTACCTAGTCGACTGTCGAGTCAGGAGTGCTTAAATTTGCAGATGATATAAATGTTTTCAGAGTCAGCAGTGACGAGAAGGATCAAAATGTTATCCAGTCGGTAGTCAGGCAGGTGGCAAATGGAATTTAACTTTCCCAAAAGTAAGACCTTGCATATTGGCCGAATCCGTAGTAAGAGACGATATGAAATGACAGGTCATAAACTTCAAAGAAGAAATCTTGGAAATTGGAATTCACATAAACCACAAACTTTCAGCATCAGATCTGGGCCTGAAGCTAGAAAAAAGAGCTCTTAAAATGTTAGTGAGCCATGAACACAAATGTGGCCTATAAAAGTGCAGAGGTGGTTACCAAATTTACATTGTATATATCAGACCTCATCTGGATTATTGCGTTCAAGCATGTTCTCCTCTTATGATGAAGACTGCTGGCTTCTATAGAAAGGGTGCAAAAAGGGCAACTAAAATGGAAAATGGATAAGTAACCTTCCTTACGAAGAATGGCTGAGAAAATTAGGCATGTTCTCCTTGAGTTATCGTAGGTTTCACAGAGATATGATCAACATTTTCAAATATATGCATTGACAGAGTACAGGCTATCGCAGTGGCATGTTCGAGTTTAATAATAAGGCTAGAAGGAGAGGACATCAGTTTAGGCTTGTTGTTAACCAAAGTAGAACAAAGCTTAGACAGTCGTTCTTTAGTAGAAGAGCTGTAGGACATTGGAACAAGTTGCCAACAGAAATTGTCTCAGTCACTTCACTTAGGTTCTTTAAAGCAAGTTTGGATTCACTCTTCATTAAAAAGGGCAAAGATTTTCATTACAAGGGAATTGGAAAGTGCAGCCATGTAAGGGCCCCAGTGGCTCCTAGTTGCACTCCATTTTTATGCCTTTATTTTTTATGTTTACTCTCAGATTACTGGGTTTGGCTCACCCATACTCATTGCCCCCCCCCCCCCCCCCCATGCACTTTGCATAAGATTTGTTGAACAGGCTCGCTTATACTCGATATGTAAGAAGTTAACAT